CATATGCTGTGTGTGTATATATATATATATATATATATATATATATATATATAATTTCATATTTGTTAGATAATAGGAACTGTAGTGCTTAGTCTGTATTGACAACTATATAACCAAAAGTGTTGGCTTTACCTTGACCGGTTTAGTCTGCTCCCCTTGAAAGATGGAATAGTCCTCCTTCAGTCTGTGACATATGTCCGATAGACAGACGCACTGATGGCGAGACACGGGATCCCACACCAACTCCACATAGGCTAAACAAAGACAGTGCAAAAAAGACTTTTCTGTAGTTTGCTTTCCTTTTTGGAGAAATACCCTGTTCCTGTAGCAGGCCGTGGAAGAGCAGGAGCAGAGAAGATGGATTTTACTTATAAAACTGAATTGAAAATGTGGTTAATTTTATGAGTGGTAGACAGGAACAAGTGTGTGAATGAGTGGGAAAAGTCACAGGGCATGGATGGAGTGTGCGGTACCTGTTATTTTGGGTAGGACAGTCTTTTCTATGACATTGGACAGTGTCTGTCTGTCTGTGTGTTCTAGCTCCTCATGGCCATGACCGTGACAAAAGGTCTCCACTGCTGTGAACCATGGGTGGTTTTCAAACTCCCCACTATTATCCTGAAACACACACAAATGACATTGGACACATAATCTCATATGTTGTGTAATGATATATGTGTGTATGTATGAGCTAGTCTCTGGGTCTGTGTTCACATGTACCTTTAGTGGGTTCCACGGCAGTAGCTGATGTCTTATGATGGGGTTCAACAACTTGGGCAGACATAGAGAGATGTAGGCACTGTGATAAGAGTCAGAGTAAGATCCTCTCCATTCTGCAAACCGGGACAGAATCTCCTTAACGTTGGAGAACTCGTCCTGGACGTCAGAAAACACTGCCTGGGACCTCAACAGGATATCAGCTGGAGAGGAAATGAAAGAAAAGTCAGATAAAAGCAACAACAAAAAAATCTGAGTACAGACTTATATTGCAGCCTGGCAGAATTTATTGTGTCACAGTTTATAGGGTTAAAGCTGTATTGTTAATATAAAACCCTGGTCTACAGGTTGACGTCACCTGTCTTCTTCTGCAGCTGCTCCTCCTCTTCTGCTGTGAGCTCTGTGTCTTCAGGTATACCGACAACATCCTCAGCTTTAACACCAGTGTCTCCCTCGCTGCAACATGTCAGACAAATATCATACAAACATCTGTAAGAGCAGAGTGGAGTGCCTATCTCACAGACCTGGTCTATAGACTCTTTTTGTAATGTCTTTGTGCTGGATTTGATTAAATTAATTTAGCAAGCTTTTCTAATTTAATGTTACAGCAACTTAATTATTTATTTATAGAATACATATAGCGTATATATATATAAAACATATGAAAAAAGTAATAAACCAAAGAGGAAAATTTTTATCTTGACAGACATTATTACCCTTGAGTTTCTGTTCCACTGGCTGTGTTTCCGCTCTGCTCATCTGTGTTATCTAATAAAATGAGATTTTAAAAAAAATACAGGTAAATATTCTGTCCAGAGACTATTTTGAGACATACTGAGACAAGAGTTTGATCACAAACGTACATACAGACACACTGACGTTACTCACAGCTGAGCTGCTGCAGACGGTCAGCCTGCTCCTTGATTCTCTGTCGCCTCTGTGCCAACAGCGCCTCCATCTGGTCAGACAGCAGAACGTGCAACTCCAGTTCCAGTGAGTTGATCTCAACAACCTGTCAGCAAATTATCATCACTTATCTGTTAGCGATTAGCTGTTCGACAAAAATGTCTGATTGTGACAGAGCCTGTTTAACCTGTTTTAAAAACTAAAATGTACTGTTGGGTCCTGCAACCTATTTTTTTTATTTGAGGTTTTATTCCATTTTAATCATTAAATATTTTATTAACTGAACAGATTTACTCATTTCCTACCTTCTCCCGTAGACACTCCACCAGGTTGTGGACATAGAGGGTCATGGCCCTGTAAAACTTCAGCTGACTCTCTGAGGAAGCCTCCTCCAGACTTTCCACAGAGGTTTTAGCGCACTCAACATCGCCCTCCATCCTCCTCAGCTCTGCCTGCCGTGCTCTGTGCACCTCCTTCATGGAGTCTAGTCTAGAGAGAAGGTGAGGTGTGAAGTGAGGAATACACACATGTATATGTATATGTTTGATTCCAACACATGTACTGCTTGGCAATGCGTACACTGGAAAGATATTGTTATGACAATATTAAACGTTGGGTCAGTCATAGTCATAGATGATTGAGTTTCATTCACAGGTTGTCAAATACAGATACCAATGCTTTGGGTTGACGACCTGGCAATGAAACTCAGCGTAATGATGATGTTGTGCCACACAAACAAATGTACAAGAAACGTACTTTCCAATGATTCTCTTCTTAACCATTGAGACACTGATGGGAGAAAGAGTCTTTGGGATTCTGCCCCCTGCTGGTCTCTTCTTTTGTCTTCGCCTGTCTCGCCGGCTGCTACTGCTGCTGCTGTAGCGGCTGGATTCACTGCCAGATGGGCTCTGAGCAGAAGAAAATAGGAGGATAAAGGATGTCAAAGCTGCAGTACAGAGGGGTGTAGTTACACTGATGGAAGGCTTGCGTCTTCAGAAAAGGAGACTTAACTATTATTTAAGAATGCCCAGTTTTACACAAAATGGGAAAAAAAAAGATCAATACAGAAAAAGCACAGAGAACACCTAGGGTGAAATTTTATTTTGTACTAATTTACAATGCCCATCCCTAGATGGGCCTTTAAAATACATAAAACTCAACAACAAACACGGTAAAAAACACAAACTCAACAATACGTACGCTTATTAAAAACACAGAACTCAATAAGAAATACAGACAAAGCAACACAGCACACAAACTAATAAAATAAATCACCAAAAAACAGGACGCAGCAGATCATTCATGACTACATGATTGATTGCTCCTCAAAAACTCTTTCTGTTTGAATCTAAAATGATCCCAGTCAGGATCCAGTTTTACTTCTGTAGGTAAGGAGTTCCCCATTTTGATTCCCCGAACAGAAAAAGCAGTTTGGATCAAAAAGTTAAATTTGTATTGCTGATTGAAATCTCTTCTTACCTGTTCTCCTGGTCGTCTCTTGACTCCCTTCTCAATTTGTGTCTCCTCCCAAAGTTCCTGCTCTTCTCCATCAGTCCCTGAGAGACTGCCATCACTTCCTCCTAGATTACACACAAACAGACAAAACAGTACAACTCACATTCTCACAGTTTGATGCAAAACCTCTTCACCCCATCTCCCCTGTCTCCTTCCCTCTCATACCAAGTTTCTCAGCAATCCTCTCCCTTATGCTCTTCAATCGTGGGGCGAACTCGATTCTTCTCTCATGATCATCTGGCTCATCATCGTCATCATCAACTCTGTCTTCGTCGTCGTCTCTGCTGTAATGATCCGGGGTGCTACCAGCGGAACTCTGGCCATCTCTACCCAGGGAAATGAACTCTTTCTGGGCTCGAGTGGTGCGACGCTGCCTCCTGGCTGCCCGGATCTCTTCAGCATTGGGGATAATTACTGTATAGTTGTTTAAAATCAACAGACAGGGAGACACAATGAATATAAATGGCAGGCAGACAAACACAATCACACACACACACAACAAAATGCTACGTATTATAAGCAATAGTGGAAGCAAGTTGGAGCAACAGAAATCTGGCTTCTTAACACTGCTGGACATTAAATAAATACTGTATGAAGAAATGTATTATAGTTATCTGGTATTCAATAATAAAATGTTTGAAATTACTTACATTTCATTACTAAACAATGTGTTTTTAGCAGACACATTGCAACTGTACTCAGAATAACACCTAATTTATCATTATGATAAAGTCAGGTTGTACATAGGCTTTCAGAGCACAGTGGAGTGGGGATTGTAAATTGGATATACAGTCGAAATTGGTACTCAGGAACCTGCAGACTGAGCGTTGAGTTTGTCTCTGAAACCTTTAGCATGCACACACACAGACAATAACCATCTGCAGATTCACTCGCCCTCTGACACACACCCACAGTACAGTACACCCACAAAAACACACACCTGGTTTAGTAGCAGAGCGGCTGGAGTCTGAGGCTGAGCTGATTGAGGGAGACCTGACACCACCTTCATCACTGTCACTGTCATCATCATCATCATCATCATCATCGTCGTCGTCGTCATCATCATCGTCATCATTACGTGGTGAAGCCTGAGTGTCATAATCTTGCCTGAGAGAACCAGATGGTGGGACACCTCCACCTGCTGGGGCTTAGAGAGAAGAGAGGGAGACATGCCAATACAAAAAAAAAAAATTAATTATGATTACATTAGCAAACATTATCATATTATTATCTAGAGAATTACTGAAATAAGATGAAAATGTTACTTCAATTACTAAGACATCTTAAGTTTGTAGGCCAACAGGTAGGAGTTCTGTATAGGCATCTTTCTGAGACCAAAATAACTCTGTACTAAACAAATCATCTTTGTCACTGCTGATATGCTTTACCCCTTTTCCATGAATCCATGAACAAGTATTTGTTAAATGACACTACAGCTACTTGTATTTTTTTCTACAGGTTTCAAAAGGTTAAATTCAATTCTTTCAAAAGACCATTATGAATCCAGGTTAAGACCTATTTTACATCCATACTGGTAAAAAAAGTACAAAAGAAATATGAAGGAAAATTCATATTGGTTTCATGGCAGTTTTGTTTTGTAATTGTTACCTGTTGTTGCATAATCATCAATACAAATTCTTCCCAAAAACGACTGAAAAATTAGTAACACTGACTAATACATTTTTAAGACCTGTGAAAATCATATAATCAGGATATATGATCGGTTGCCTGTTCATTAGTTGCACTGATGGTGCTGTTTTAATATTTAGTCTGCCCTCATGGGGTGGACAAATTATTAGAAACACCTCTCAGCATAACAGAACAATTAAACAGCACTACAAACACACTCTACAATTACGGCTTCCAAGATAATGTTAAGCTCGAATCAAAACCTTCAACAGTTTAAACAAAAACTGAACATTATATTCTTCATACAGGTAGGATTTATTACAGCACTCTTGTATTAGATGGCATTAGATTTTTCCTATCTTTATTCGAGAGTGTGGTCTTTTAGTTTGAGAACATGACCTATTGATTGCATGTTCTGATTTCCAATGCTTTCCCTCAAAAGTCTGCCCTCGCACTCAAAAAGCTGTTTGTGCTCAGATTTGCTGTGCTTGTCTTCAAAATGTGTGTTTGCGTGCAGATAGAGTATCGGGACTGAGTCTAGTGGATTGCTGGCCAACATGGAGCGGCAATGTCAAGGACTGAACATGAAATCAATAAGTCATGTTCTCAAACTAAAAGACCACGTTCTTGAATAAAGATAGGAAAATAACCCATTGTTAACTCGGTGTACGCTGGCATCTGACATGTATATATGTACGTTAGTGTACGTATACTGTATGTGATCATAAGATTTGAGTACGCAATGTGTCACCTACCATGTTGACCTGCTAGTGTGTAAGAGTCATGAGTGTTTCTCATCTGAACCAGTGAGGTCATAACCTACCTGTGCTGTGGGTCGTCTTGGCAGGTGAAGCCTCCTTCCTCCTAACTTGGAACAGCACAGCTTTTTCAGAAGACTTCTTCAGCTTAAACGTTGGCCCCTCAGCTGAGACAGTAAAACAAAAGAATATCAGATATCAATGACAAAAACTTACCCCCACTCTCAACTACCACCCTCTTGCAGTGTTTTTATACCCTGTCGCCTTTAGGTTCCTATGGAGTACAGTGCACACAGCAGTCTATAAATGGCAACTTCATTATATGAGCAGAAACCTAGAAACCAATCAGTGCTCTTGTGCTGCAACAATACTGCTTTCTGTGTGCGAGTTACTCTGCGGTAAACACAACTTCATGCAGGACTATAGGACAGAGACACAAATTTAGCAGGAACGCTCTAAGTTGATAGTGTAAAGTACACAGGTGGTGCAGTGGTACAGAGGTACAGTGGTGCAGAGGTGCAGTGGTACAGAGGTGCAGTGGTACAGTGGTACAGTGAACCTGGGACTTGTGGGGCATTGACACTTTGTCCAGTTAGTTAACTGTGTGCACAAATAGAGGTGATAGGGATAATTTAACTGGCGAGAAAATACTAGGCAATACAAATATCTCAGATCAAATATATTCTATACATGTATCCTCATTAACACTATAAATCCTTGTTCCTGTCGGTAATTTCAGGCACATCTTCAACGTTACGTTCCTCTTACGTTCGTTACCAAATGTCCAGGATCCATCTTTATAAATATTCACTTTTACAACGACATATTTATACTTAATTACCTTCTTTGTCGTCAGAGAAACTGAGGATGTTTGTTTTTTTCTTAGTCCCGTCTTTCTTCCTCTCCTCTATTTCTTCTGTCACTCCCAGCCTCCTGTCACTCTCACCGTCTTCCCCGTCGCTGCTATCCGGCTCAGGAGGCGTCGCTTCCCGCTTGGAGCTGCAGGAGATCCCGCGGCCCTGGGCCAGATTCAACGGCTTATTTACCACAATGGGAGCTTTCTGATTGTCCTCTCCATCCCCGTTGTTCTTCTGCTCCTCCTCCTCTTCACTGGAGTTCTCCTTTCTCCGCCGAAAGTTCCTGCGGGGCTTTTTATTGAACATGTTTGCCCCACTCGCATGGAGGTTAGTGGTCGGACTGTAAACTAGAAGTAAACCGTAGTACGTCGCGTCAGAAACCGCTTGACACTGTCGCAAAATGTAACGCAACTCAACCGCAATGCACCATGGGTTATGTAGTGCAAACCCCAAAAAATTTAAAATGAGGCAACTTGCAGTTCATTTTACATTCTCTAGATTTCAAACAGCATTAATAATTAAAAAAAGTATTAAAAAAAAAAAGATGAAACGATGTAATGTAGGCCCTACTTTATAGCAGGCAGGCCGCCCTTATGGGGCCAGGGGGGGCTGTGCTGCATAAGTAGGCATAATATTCAGGAGAAATTAATAATGTATGGTTCTTGGCTCAGGAGATTATCTGTGGTCAAATGTGAACCAAAAGCAGGTGAGTTTATGAATATGTGCCCTTCTTGTGGTTCGACATATGACAAATAACTCGGTAGGAAAATAGTAAAAAAGTAAAAAGTAAATACAGGGCTTATAAAATTAGAAGAAGAAAAAAAAAGACTAGTAGTTCTTGCATCGCCTGCTCTCTTATCTTTCTCCCATCACCAATTGTTCTCCTTCTCCATCTGTTCCAGTCTTTATTCCTCCCAGTGTCTCTCCTCCCACAGTCCGACGTTAACAGCGCCCCGCAGCCTCCCTGCAGCCACCGCTCACTCCTCGTCAGCCATGTTGTTGGTGTGACACACCGAGCTGTCAGCAACAGGTCCTCTTGAGTAACAACGCTGCCGAAACTTCATCGTTTCCCACACAGATACTGCTCTCTTTGGATAGTAAACCTCTACATTGTGTCTCGGGAACCGTCCAGAAGTGGTGGATGATAACTTCGGGTCCCGCAGAAGCTCCGAAGTTGATGTTTTTTTTTGTTTTTTTGGCCGTGGTGAGAGAGGTACGCAAGAGAAACTGCTTATCTAAGCATGAGTTTTAAGTTTGATATTGCGATGCTAATGTTTCCACAGATGGTTTTTAGGTTTCACACGAGCTTTAGGACTGTGTCTAATATCGCTTTTTAATGTTTTGTTTGGATTTGTGATTCAGGAATATAAAAGAAAAGTATCTTTGAAGGGAGTGTGTGTGGGGGGGTGCTTCTCTGCTGATCTCTCCTCAAAACAACCTGGGATGAGTTGGCTAAGTCATTAGATGTTAGCTATGATCGACACCTAGACACAGGGTATTTATTGGCACCCCTTCAAGGCAAGCCCGGGTGGAAAGTAAGTGGTAAAGGCAGATCCTCAGGAAACTCTCCTAAATTCCTTTCGGTTCAAACGAGTTATGCAGGTTGCAGGCAGGTCTCAGACTGGCTGGTGACAAGTGATCAGGGAATGTTACTCTATCAGTTTATCTTACATGGAGACACGGGTTGTGAATTAAAGAAATCTGTGGTCCACAGTAGAGCAGCAGTGCTCATTTCTGTCTTTATTTTTAAATGTGGGCCTATTTTGGGTTGTCCCACTAGTCCCTCTAGTTCTGATGATATCAAAAAGGAGCACAATCAGAGCCACTATTAAATAAGCATCATTGCAACATCATGAAAGATCGCAAGACCAGCTTATTGTTATTGGCCATAGTATTTATTATAATAATAATGATTTACAGGCTTATTTCGGCTGTTACCAACATTATCCATTTTGCCACAATGCCACCAGTTTAGTTACATAATTGTGAGACTTAGTGCTGACACCCAAACAGTTTTTGTATAAAATCTTTTAAGTCTTTTTCTACACAGCAGGCTGATTCTTAAGAAAGCTCTTCTGTCAAGTGCAGCAGCACATAATCAATGCATCGTCATCATTATTAGGCCTGATTTTAACGTCCACGGCGGTCCAGTTGCCCCACTGGTGTTAATATGTCTGTATTTGCATGAGTGAGTTGATGATGCATTGAGTGATGCACATATCTTAGTACAGAGATTAAATGCTAGACAAGCTGCTTTTTATGAAGTGTTTCTATCACTTCCGGTAATTTAAAAGACTCTTCGGTCTTTTCAGCTGTCTTCATCTCTTCATGATTTTAATGCTTAACATGGGCTTTTTTTGTCGTCCTCCACCGTATTGTAATTATGTTTTTAAAACTGATCAATCTGGTTTTGACCTCCATGTTGGCAAACGTCCACTAGGCTGAAGTTTCTTTAAGGCAAAACAGTTGATGGCTGCCAGGAGTGCTGTTGTTTGGCCTCACGTCACCTCAGACCTTTCTGGACAGGCCCCCTATTGGGTTGGTAGGGAATTTAATCAGCAGATGTAAGGTTTGTTAATTCCTCCTCTTTAATATCTTCTTCATTAAACGTATATTCTCAATAACACCAGAAATGTCCTCCTTTACCTGTAGTTCATACTATACAGTAAAATTAATTGGAGAACTTTCTCCAGTCCTGTCATATTTTACTTACATGTGGACAAATCAGGGTGGGTCAAAGCAGACTAAAGGAAGGAGAGGCATGCCTTGCCTCTTAAGAAAACAAAACCCAGCACTGCAAACAGGATTAATCAAACCCAATCTGAAACACTCCAAAAGGCCTTTGCAGCACTTTCTAAACACGTGAACACCGCTGGTGGATGGGGTGTTCATTGGCAGCGTGGGTGTTGAAATATCACAAGCCCAGCTGAATAGTAGAACTCTATGGTGGGAAGGGGTCAGAAAGATAGAAATTGATGTAACAATAAAAACATAGGGATATGAGAGATAAAGGAGACAGACAGCCAAAAGAACCATGGGTCATTTTACTGTATATAGAAACACAGACAGAGAGACAGAGAGAGACAGAGAAAGAGTCATCAGGGAGAGAGAATTGGGGTTGATGTCATTGGTGTGAGGTCAGCGAGTGAGGCGGCTGAAAATCAATCATTTTGTAGAACAACAGGCAGTGCTTGTTTCAGAACAGTAGTGGTGAGGACACGCCAGGGTCACACAACTGGTAGGGTATAGATTTAGGGGCAGAGTCGGCATACATAGATATACAATGACCTATGGAGAGACAGAGAGAGGAGAAAAGGTCTGTTCAAAAGACAGTCAGAATGAGGAAGTGGAGTCAGTGGAGGAGGAAAGCTTCATCAGTGACACCTTTCATTTCTGGTTCTTCATTGTGTTCTTTATTTCCTTCTGTCAGTGTAAAAGAGAGTCTATGTTGGGCACTACATGCGTAAGGGACCAACAGACACAGACTGGTGCACTCAGAGTGAGAGAAAGAGAGTAAGATCTGTGTAGTTCAAAGCTGCTACTGACAGCTAAGGTCAGGGGCAGACAGACTATTTATCCAACAGTTGTCTGTGTTGTATATACTAAAGGAGAGACAGAAATGGCCCAGTCTCCCAGCAGAGACCAAAGCAGAACTGAAGCAGGTGAGGTCTGACCAACATAGCCAAGTCAAAAATGAAAGGACAAAACCACACCAGGAAGTGTATGATATCTTTTACCACAACCCTTCAGTGAAACATTAATTCAGCATTAAGTGGTTTATGTTGTTAAAAAACAATTCAGTGTAATCATTTTTAGTTAGTTAGAAAATGTAATTTAAGCTGAAGAAATAGTTTTTTACCTAAAGGCCCAGAATTCAGGCTAATTAAAAGTCTTGCTTTGAGAAATTTTGACTTGGCATGGCAGGAAGACCACAGGTGTAATTGGTAATATAACATGGGCTCCATTCCAATTAGCTCTAGCTTCTGTCTAATCTGTACTGTTAAAGGCCAGTGTGTGGGATTTAGTGACATCTAGCGCTGAAGTTGCAGACTGCAACCAGCTCGCCTCACTATCCCCCTTCCAAGTGTGTAGGGGTGTTCACAGAAAACTCTAAAAAAAAACATGAAAGGCCCTATGTAGAGTCATTGTTTGGTTTGTCCGTTCTGAGCTACTGTAGAAACATGGCGTTTCAACATGGCGGCCTCAGTGGAAGAGGACCCGCTCCCTCTGTAGATAAAAAAGACTTGTGAAGAATGACTTTTCCATTGTCCTGTTATTATTATTACATATTGTGCTAGGCAAATGTAGAAGTCCGACAAAAGCTCACCTGCTCCCAGTAGCTACCAGTGAACTTCAAATAAACCAGTGTTATGGTCTTTGCAATAGATTAAGTAAACAACACAGAACAAACAGGTTATATATACATACACACACACAGACTTCGTCATTCAGATGGTTGCAATCTGCATCATTAGATATGTTCTCCCAGACTGGACCAATCAGACAGGTTGGGACCCATTATGAGTCATATGTCTATTTATGTATTCAGCCATGTCAGCAGTAATGGGACCACTATACGTGTGGTGTGTTAGCACCCAGATGGGCTAACACATTTTCAGCACTGGTCCAGATCTTAAATAGTAGGAAAACACAGTGCTATCTTTGTCTCTAAGCCATGCTTATGGGCACTGGGTGGGTTTGAACACCCGCCTTCCAGTTGGCAGTCTCTATTCATTACAAGGATCTAGTGTACAGACCATACAGTGTGCTTTGAAAGGTTTTTCTGTAGTTGTGAAAATTTCCCAGCCCATTTGACAATCATGCAAACCTGTATGTAAAAAAAATTACTTAATATTACTCATGTCTCCCTCTCTAGGACAACTGTAACTCTATCAACAGTCTGTTTTCCAGCCTTGTTTTTTAATAGTGTGTGCATCACAGATAAGGTACAACATGAAGTTTGTTTTAAGGGTAGGTGGAAAGGATTTGCATGAGGTTTGCAAAGCTGAGCCTACCACTAAAGGGAATCACTTACGCCAGTGCTTCAGTCGGTCAGTCGGTCAGGCAGCCATCCAGTTAGGAAAAGTCAGACTCCTCTGTCACTCTGGAAACAGTAAACCTTAAAGCCGACAGTCCACTGATATCTTTCATTTATTCATTATAATTCCTACAGTGTTACATTACCAGAGGTTAAACTCAATGACTAGAGCCTTAACAACACTGAATGGCTGATGTCAACTTATCACCCATATGTTGTAATAGCATTTAGGTATGTTGTATAGGTATATGCAAAATAAGAGCTTGAACCAGTATTGGGACTAGATACAGTGGTTGGTCAAGCAAACTGCACGTCTACAATGATGTTGTGCAACATGCAAAAAAAGCAAAGTGCTGCACTTTTAAGCACTTTGCTTTGAAATGATCTACATACAAAAGCAAAGTGGTTAATACTGGTAAGGATCTATAGTCCACATGGTGCTCAAGGTTAGTGTAGTGCAGAAAACTGGCCACATCATTGTGGTATTTTTCTAACTAGTTAAATAACCTGTGTACTTATATTCCCCCACCACTCAAAAATATGCTTTTCTTTTTGTTCCTGCAGATGTTTGAGCTGCACTGTTCAGAATGATGTATGTGCAGTGAGTTTGAAACCAGAAGGATGTTTTCACATTTATCTGCTAAAATCGGAAAGTTTCTCTGTGCTCAATGGAAATCAGATTTTTAAGGGGCCTACAATCATGATTTGTGACATCACAATAGCTTTTAAGTAAACCCTGGTCCAGTATGCAAGTTATAGTGTGATGTTGAAACTTTAGGCCAAGAGTGCACACTTGACTTTACAGGGAAGTAGGAGACATCTTGTGTCCAGCAGAAAAAACAACATTTGCATATTCATAGATTTTGTCATTTTTAATGAGGCAGAAGGAGTAGATGCCATTTTAAGGGTTTAAATGTGGGAATTATACTTTTTCTGTGGAAAAAAAACATATCAGGCACACATTATTTCTCCAAGCAGATTATTGTATATGTTTTAATACATGTCTGGAGGGGATCTTTAACTAAATGGTTACCTGACTTTTACAGCAAATAATGCAGTTAAGCTGTATCTGTGTTAGGAATGCTGCAAACATGACTTCTTACTGAATACATTCTTACATTTATAGACACTCATAATCCAATTTGTAATAAAGACTGCACATGAAGAACAGGGAGAGAATGAAAGAGAATAAGGCAAAAACTGTGGAGAGACTCTGGGAGAGCGACAGATGGCAGGCAGTAGATTAGCCCTCCCTCGCTGGTTTCTGCCCTTGTGAGAGCATTGACCGGGCCCTTTTTATCTCATTCATGTTCTCTTTTACAAATGGATCAGTGACCAATCATTTTTCTTCCTAAAAATCACTCGTCAATCTGTAATTCTTGTACAGCCACAGTTCCGACACTAGCTCTGACTCTTTTTTTGCAACATCAAAGCTGTCCTTCTGCCAAAATCCACCATCACTTCCTGTCAACTGACTTTGGACGAGGAAATGCTTGTGTCCGTGGGTTACCGGGCAGGAAGTATTGAGCAGAAAGATTGGAATTTCTCTCCTCCTTTTCCTCCTCTGACTAAATCATGTGAGTCTGACTGGCTGATGGGAGAGATATGGTAATGGAGGAAGCAGGTGCTCACGTCAGTAATGAAAGTTTTAGCCCCCCTGCACAGGTCGTCTTCTGTGTATCTGTACTGTACTACAAATTCCTGAATCAAAAGTTCACACTGTTCCCACAGCGAAAAGCTGTTTTATATCTAAACAAGGCAGTTTTGTGGTGGCTGTTTTTCAACAGGCAGAACTGTGCTGCAGTCACAGATGAGACCTATAAATATGCTGGCAAACCCAGCATGATACAAGTTACTGGTCTTTTGTCAACAAGGACCCATATATGGTACATTTAGTCTGTGGACATTCAGTCTAGTACATTTACCGTGTTGTGACCTACCACAAACGTCCTCCCAACCAATTAAAAAACACAGTTACAGAAAGTGCGGTCTAATTGTTTGACAAAACACACAGAAATGTAAAAGATAATAAATCTGCAAAGTTCTCTAGTTTACAAGCTAGCTGGAGAAATCTTTGTGTAAATCTACTGTAGTAAGCTGATTAAAATGTATCAAAGAAAATTTAAGAACATAGACGCCTTCACCCGTGCACCAAATGTAATTACTTAAAACGTGCAAACCCTGACCTTCCAGGAGAAATGGGTCTTTCCGCTTCGTAAAAACGGGTTTATGCAACAGCAGCTGCATTTCCACACTGGCACCGCTTGTGCGTGACTCAACAAGAATTGGTTGAAAGCATTATGCAACAGACTTTGAGAAAGGTATGGACATAGGTGACAGGGAGGCAGTATAGAAGTCATCAAGATTGTATAGTCGCTTGGATGGTCAGTCTGTCTGTCCACCACTTTGGTTCTCACTGAAATATCTCAACAGCTGTTGAATGAAT